CTGCATGTCTGAGAAGCTTGACATCTTAGACCCTGGTCAGCTAGCCATTGCACCTGACAGGAGCTGATGTCTTCCATCACTTTTCTGGATTTGACCTCTTGTTTGTCTTCACAGATACATTTTCTCCAGATTCATCAGAGCACACATGACTGAAAACAGCTGCCCCGGCTGGTGTGGCTTTTGCTTCCTAAGTGTCTAATATGCCTTTCATTCCAAGTACTTACATTGTTTGATTAAAAAACATGTCTCTTGACTTGAATTCTGGAGAGAAGCCACCTACTCAGGTTAGATCAGTCTATGGAGTCACTGACACTGAGCCAAATGCCCCCCTTGTACCAAATGCCCCTGGTACAATCAATGGTAGTTACAGAGCAGGCTTAGATGTTTACAGAGAAATAACACAAAAGCATTGTTGCCTAGCTCCTGCTGCCATCAGTGTAAGAATATAGATATAAAGCAGCTCAGTAGAAAGGTATAGGATGGGTAAGTCACAAGAAAGAGAGACCATGTGAAAAACATGCTAGCTTGGCACTGGAGACTGAGATAAAGATATCCCAGTCACTCATATTCCAAACCTCTTCCTGATGGTATTAGACCTACATCCTACTGAACTTGTCCTGGCAGGCTTGATATATGATGCAATAAAGTGACAGACAATAATGGATAGTATCATAGAAGGTCCTTTCATATCTGGCTCACACAGAGAACTTTAATGGTTAATAGTGTTCAGGAGTGTTGGCCCTTTCCTCCTACATTGTTCTCCAAGCATATATATATACATACCCTTGACATAAGAGAAAGATTTATTGTATAAGTGTAATTGCATTTGTAATTTCAATGAAAATTATTAATTTTAAAAATGAACAAGAAAACAAATCCCAGTTGGAGAAAAATATTAATGGCATTTCATACTGTCACAAAAAATGCAAATCAGGATTTTCGTTTCCCTAATTAACAGACATAAATCAGGATATTTTAAATTAATGAGAGCCCTTTCCACATCAGAGATAAATATTGACCTCCTTCTGGTAGAGGTAAGTACATTAAAATCACCATTTTCTCAATAATCAAGTTTACCTTTACAGTAACTTTGTACTAGGTCATTCCTTCAGAATTGCTGTCTGCTCGAAATTCTCCAAGCAGAAGAATTGAATGGAATTCTGCTTGGGTAGGAGAAATGTGGCCAAAGAGTCAAAATCAATTTGCTCCTGTGATTGACATCAGGGCCTATGTGTCAGCCAAGCTCTCTCATACCATCTGTGCTCTGATCATGATCAATAGGTATTTGTGATATGCCCAGGAAATGGGCTGTTTTATTACTGTTACATAGATGGGAGACAGAAATGTCTCAACCTAGAGTCTCCTGTTGTAGACATAGAAGCTGGTAGATGAATTATTAGAATGTGGAGTTTGCACTGATACACTTTTGAACTTTCATTGAACTTGTAGATTAAGAATAGGCAGTTTTTCCAAGAGGAAAATTCACCAGACAACCAACAATTTTTCTTTCACATATTTAAGCGAGATGTTCGATCTGGTAAGGAAATAATAGTAATTTATGTCTTTGATAATTGAGAAGGATTATAGTTCTATACACAGAAAAAGCAACCATCACCCAGGCCTCTGAGTCACAAAGCCATTAAAGAAGAAGCTTCCAGCTTAAAAGCGGATGAAATCTCTAGATTCAGAGGATAGTGTTTTCCAAGAGGGAATTAAGTGAGGAGAAAGAAATCCCCATGTACTTGTAAAATTACGTCCCCTCTCTGCCTTCCTTCCAATCCACCATAATGACACTTTTCAAATGCATCTTAATATCCCATTCTAAAGAAAAGCACGCATATGCAGAACTGCTTCTCTTCCTGCACATTAGTTCCCTTCCCACCCTCATGCTACATCGCAGCCCCACGCTAACTCTTGAAAGAACAGCAATGAAACTGCCTCCTTCGCTCTGTACAGACCCATCATTCTATGAACATCATTTGTCCTCTAATCTGCAGAAACAGCCTGGAGCAGATTAAAGGTTAAGAGGGAAGATTGCTGACCAGCTGGAAATGTGTTTGGTACAATCAACTCACCACAAGAAAAATTATTCTACTGATAAAATAGTGTCACCTGAGATCAGGTTCCTGGGAGATGGAAATTACTAATTTTGCTGCTATGACATTGAACAGCTTGTATTAAAAATATAAACTTGCTTGTGGTCCTTTGGTTTGGTTGGTACAATGCACCAGAGACTTCAACTAAATGCTGGCCACTTTGTAATTCAGTTGCCCTTATTAATGATAAACCTTAGCACCTTCTTTCCAAGATCTCTTCACCACAGTGCTCTTTCTCCACTAGAATTCAATTTGAGTCAACCCTACCATGATTTTTAAACATGCATCTTGCTAAATGCTCAAAATTAAGGATATAATCTTATCACAAGTTGTTAATAGCTGGTGTTCATAGCATCACAGGTTACAGTGTAAGGCTGTGAAGATAGCCAAGAAGAAAGGGGAAGGCTGAGGTGGATCCAGGTCTGTTTGGTGGTCCGCATGTAGACTACCTCGGTAGGAAGGAATGGCAACCTGAGGATAGGAGGTGTTTTCACAAGTTTTCAAAAGTAATGGTACACAAAAGATGTTGTTATAAGAACCTATGATCTGGTAATAGAAAGTTACCAGGAACTTGGACAAATCTTGGATATCGTGATTCTCTTCCTCTCTTCATTTCATGATGTTTTTGCCGCATCTGGAGGTTGTCTTGACCTTCCGCCCCTACTGACATTGCTCCTCAAAGTTTCTGTTTCCTCCTAAGTGCTGTCTGCGCACATTATCTATCACTAGTTTATCTCCTGGTGTCCAGCTATAGTAATCTTTGCTAACTGTCATGTTTGAATTTGTAAAATGGAGAGAGAATTTAATTGTCATTGCTCAGATTGCACATGGCCACACTTAGGGTTGTTGAGAATTTAATCATGGACCAGTACTCTATAGCCAAAAGGACAAGGATAATGGATCAAATAGAGCCAATTATTCAAGAGGGATAGTTCATTTGGTAAAGGGCTGATCTGTCATTCTAAAGGTTGGTCTACCTGGTCCATGATATAACTGAAAAAAAATCCATGGAGGATGTTATACCTAAGATGATGAGGAGGATGATAAAAGGACCCCATGAATGGATAGGCAAACGTGGAGGGAATGTGAAGGCAACAGCACAAGAACAAGCCAAAAATAAGAAAGTAGGTACTTCTGTTTGGCTAGAGCAGTACTCCTCAGACTTTCTATGCACATGATTCACCTGGACTTGGGTCCTGTTCAACAGGTCCCAAGTGGAGCTTGAGATTCTGCAAGCACCCAGGTAATGCTTCGTGCTGGAGCACACACTGGTTTGTGTGACTATAACAAAGAGAATGCCCCAATCTTGAATGTCCAGCTAACAGAGTGTTATTCTACTTTAGTAAGAAGCTCTGCTTACAGTAACACCCAGTAGTGTCAAAATGACATTTGAAACAGGAGCTGGTAGCACATGCCTGTAACCCCCACACTCTAGGAGGCCGAGGTAGGAGTGTTGCAATTTCAAGCCCAGCAATCAGTGACTTTGTGACAACCTGTCTCAAAATAAAAAAAAAATTAAAAGAGATGGGGATGTAGCTCAGTGCAAAAACTCTGGGTTCCATTCCCAAAACTTCAAAAAAAGAACAATAATTCAGTAATGCTTTGTGTGATAAATCAGAAGATAACTAGAAGAAGAGCTACTTAGCAACTGTAACACAAGGAAGGTGGTGAGAAGGACTAAGTCAGGATGATTACAGTGGAAGAGGAGAAGAAGGAGCGTATAAGATAAGACACAGCCAATTGAATATGCCCTTCCCTGCGTCCTTACCCAGTCTTGACATAGTTGACAAGAGAAGCCTCTTCCTCAGGCATCATCTGCTGACATCTTGGAATGTCCTTTCGAGGGTGTCTGCTTTTCATTTCAAATCACATCTAAGGATATATTCCCTCTTTTACCTCTAACCCTTAATTTCATTCTCTCTGCCTAACTGCATTTGCTATTGTGTGCAACTTGCTGCATGATTTAACTATATTATAACCATGTAACTCTGTTATTTAGCTATTATTTCATTGTGTACCAGTAACCAAATTCAGTAACTATATTTGTTCTGCTGCAGAGTTTTGTAGGAAGCATATCTGAAGGGCACTAGGCAATGAAGTAAAGTCTATTATCGCCTTATCACCATCAGGAAAATGATCTGTTTGTTTGCAGTTCACTGAAGTACATAGCAAAGAAATTGAAAGAGAGCTTAGGGAGTGTCTGAGTGAAGTCCAGATATGGAGATGGATGGATACCCTAAATACTGTGCTACAGTTTAAGTTCCCAAAATACAGCAATGACAGTATGCAGCAGAAAGGTTTCCAGATTTTGTGTGGACAGAGGGAAAGAGACAGGACAGACAGATCCTATCCTGAAATTCAGAATCTGGGTTATTACCTAGCTTACACAGTCTCCACAAACACTTAAAACCAAGCCAAAAATAAGCTTAGTGTTAAATACAATCTTTACTGAAATTTTCTTCAGGCTAAAAGCTTGATTATACCCTTAAATTATATGGATATAAATGGAGAAATCTGTGCTTGTGTATTGAATTGTCTGTGCCATTTTGAGGTCAGATTGATTGCTGAACTTTGGTTTTCTGAGGCCACTGTGCATTAAATCAATTATACACCATTCAGGACTTTAACCCAATCCTTTTTCTTCTGATTGGATGGGATTTTTGTGCACACATGTGTACTTAGGGCTCAGAAACCAAACAGTTGTAGTTAATAAAAAAATACAGAAAAACAAAAAACAAAAATAATTTGTCCTTTGTAAAGAGAAGGGGAAAAGGAAACGAAAGAAAAAGAGAATCTAGCCCTGAGGACTAGAGCTACTTTGATTGCACAAGAACATAATCAGAATCAGGAACACAATGGAGGAAGTAATCCCAAAGGAAATCAAGATTAAGATGCATACTTTGGCCTCTGCCTACAAGCACCAACCTCCCAAGCTCACGGGTCATTTTATTTGACAATGTCACATCGATTCACATTTCACAATGCACTCTTAACTTTAGAATCTTAATGTACTGGTTGAAATTAGCTGCATCTATGGAGAAGAGTCTGCTCTTAACTATGTCCTCCTTTGGAGAGATTTCCTTGTTGACTGGAGGCATCAGCAAGATGTCATGCTATTCTGGTAAGTGGAAGCCCTTGGTGAAATGAATTATATATATATATATATGTGTGTGTATATATATATGTGTGTATATATATATATATATATATATATACATATTTTATGGACATATATATGCCTTTATGTATGTATAAAATTAACCATGGCATGGTTTGTGGGAAAATAAATGAGACTTTCAGTATTCAGTAATCCCACTGGGTCAAATGTGTCCTCATTCTTAGACAATGAAGAAGCTACAGGGAAGAAGGTAAGGCTTCAGGAAAGGCATGCTGTTGTGTGAATGTGTGCACAGGAAAGAAACGGAGCTGTCGCCAGGCCCGCTCCTTCCTTGGTTCCACCATGTATGGAGTTTCAGGGTCCTGGACACATCTGAGTGTTCTGATGGTGCCGTAGGCCTGAGGGGTGGGGCGGTGAAGTCAGGAATGGCTGCCGTGCTGACAACTGTGTAGTTTCAGGGACTTCCTGTAGAAGCGCTCCTGAAGGCTGTACCTCGGTGCCACAAGCTCTACCTCCTGCTTCCTCTGTGCTACCTCTTCTCCCAGACCCACCACACCCGAAGTAAGAATCATCACCTTAAGCAACATCCTTCCCCAGAGATGTTAACTGTCTGTTCTGTGTTCATGCATTGTCAAGAGGCTGAAACAGAAAGAAGTCCAGCCTCTTTGGCTCCAGTTTGCCATGAGCTCCGTCCTCCCCACCTTAAGATTAGGGATTTAGACAGCAGTGTGGCTGCCCTGCCTCCCTGTGGGCCCTGCGCATTGTGCTACGGGATGGACACAGGGTTCAAATCTCCTGCGGGATCTGGGCCTCACCTGCACTGGCATGCCAGAATCGCCTCCTGCCTCTCTCTGTAGTCACCTGCTGGGAAGGTCATCTTGGAATCTACTTTCAGTCCCAGCATCACCCTCGAATACCCACTACCCCTGGAAGGGAGAGGTGAGCTGAGAAACAGCAGCCCACGTGTGAATGTGGAGTATTTTTATTTCATGTTGTGGGAATGGTAGTGAAAATTCTTTAGGGACACAAGTTGTATTTAATCTGTCAATTCTGTTGAGAAGAATCCCTGAAAAAAAGTTACTATTTAAAAAAGGATGCTAAAAACACTTGTGAATGAGTGGAAGTAGAGTGCACCGTCGGCATCACAGAGGACTAGATACATGACTTGGCAGCAACTCTGTCCCTGCAGAAGTTTAGAGAGAAGGCAGAGGAACTTTGCAGATGCACAGTGCCCCAGCCAGAAGATTCTACTTTGAAGAGCCCAGGGAAGGAATCTCCTGGGGGTGCCAGAGGGCAAGAGAGCCCCACAAATGCGGCTGCCCTGAAACTCTTGGCTGTGAAACAGCTGCTTTACTCAGGACCAGGACCTGGCAGTCAATCAGAGAAGGTCCTTATCCTTCTAGAGTGCAGGTCAAATGCAGAGATTTGGCAGGGGACTGGCTTGTTTCATCTCCATCCAAACATCCCCAGGGGGCCACCCTTTGCTGCAGACAGTGGCAAATGAAAACTAAGTTTCACTTCCTTCTTGTAGCCAGGGTCCCACCCATTAGATGCATTTGCCCAAGACCTCACTGTACAGCCCAGGAGTGGAGATGGGAGCAGGGCACAAGGGCCTTATCTTGGGGGCCCAGATCACTGCCCAGAGGAGGTGGGCTTGATGAGGGGATGGTGCAGTATGTCCTAACATACTGCCCCTCTTCCACTGCAGAGACTTTCTAGGGACTGGAGTTACTTCTGGAGGCTCCAATTTCAGCCTGCCTGTGTAGCCTTCCCAAAATATCTCTAAGCCAATGAATCTCCTGAACCTTAATCCCTCACTTTTTAAAGGGATGCGATGGCTTCTGGTGTCTGCAGCAGCACAGGCAGCCTCTGGCCAAGCATGCTGAATACCCCGATTGATTTTTTTTAACACCCTCCTCTATGTGACAAAATGATTCTCAGTGATAATCACATAATAATATAATCAGTAGCTATTGTTCTTATTATCATTCATTCTCTAGCTTTAAAATGATAATCTTTAAAGTAGAAATTTAAATTTTAAAGATAGTTTTTCGAATTCAGTTAATGATTCCATGTATAAACTAAAATTTGCATTCACTAAATTTTAAACAAATTAAAGTTCCAAGTGGTCACCTAGAATAACAGAATTGAATTAAGTCAGATTTATGCCCTGGCGTTGCAATCACCATGCTATCACCCTTTATCAGTGACTTAAACACCAGCAAAACTAGTACCAAGAAGTAGAGACAGATTGAGACTGAAGTCAGGTTGAACCATCTCAAAATGTTTGTCCTTACTGAAAGCTCTCCTAGTTGAGTTCCACATAGAATATAATATTTATTAAAGGGAAATAAAATAAGATATGCTAATTTGAAGTATATACACACATATACATTTACAAGTACATATATATATGCTTAAAAATGTATATAATTAAAATTTGCCACAGCAATTGTTTAGAATGTGGATCAACAAAAGATTTTGGGGGAAGATTATTTTAGTACTGACATTGTTTAGAACTGCTGGCCTGGGGGTAGTAAAAAGCAGACTGACTTATAGTCGATTTTATTATTGGTTTTAAATCCTCTGTAGGAAATGCAGCCCTGAACTACATGCAGCAGCGAGGACCGTGCCCTGCCTGATTCAGCGTACACAGCCTCAATAAGCTGGTGCCCTGAGCCCAAAAGAGCTGACCCAAAGCTAAGGCCTGGGCAGAGTACTGGTACCTGAGGGGGAGCAGTAAGGGTGATTCCAAAAAACTAGGCCTTTGCTGCCAGGAACACATACTGGAAGACTCAGCCTGTCGCCTTCCGGACTCTCAAGTGCCCTGAAATTTAACCTTGGCGATGAGGAACCCATGGCCCAAGACTGCTGAAACCCTGGGCCAAGTTCTCATAAAGTGACTCAGTCACCCCTTGCAATGAGAAAGTGCACTTCAGCACAATTAAGAGTCATTTCATGTCACGGAGATACACAAACAGCTGGAAACATGAATGTTAACTCTACCACTGCCAAATTTCCACTTGAAGCCACACACTGGAATTTCCCCTTTGCTAACCTGGATCTCTCTGTGCCTCCAAGTACTGCACACCCAGGGAGACAGTCAAGCTGTTTGGAGGGCAGAAACTGAGCTCATGTCCAGTATTCTTCAAGGTTCCCAGCAGTACAAGTAGGAGAAAAGCTAATTCCTTGGTTCTGGGGAAAGTGAAGTGGGTGCACTGGTCCTGTCTCCCCCCTTGAGAAACATTTAAAACAGAGGCACAGACTCAAGGAGAGTGCCTAAACATAAGAGTGTTTTTGTTGTTGTTTGTTTGTTTTGTTTTGTTTATAACAGCGATTAAACCCAACACCTCAAACTGAGCTATATCCCAGCCCTTTTGTATTTTTTATTTTGAAACAAGGTCTGGCTAAGTTGCTTGGGCTGAGCTCAAACTGGCTGTCTTTTTGCCTCAGCCTCCCAGGGTGCTGGAATTACAGGCATGCACCACCACCCTGGCTAAACAGGAGCTAGGTTTAATGCTGATTGCCAAGACCCCATGAGAATTCTGGGGAGAATTCTCCCTGGACAGAGGACAGTAGTTATTCCCCATGGCACACAGGAGTAAATGCAGGTAGTCATTGCCTGGTACCTAAAGACCCTTGTAAGACAGTGACATTTTTCTGCTAAGGAACAGTACAGCAGATGTCCATCAAAGATTTATGCACCAGCCTTCTTACCTAGCACTGCTGGGAGAGTGCCCCCTAGAACCTCACTCCATAAGACAAGTAGTTATCATCCAGTCCTTTTAGGGAGAGGCCAGGCAGGAGGAATAGGGCAGTCTAGCCACATACCTTGTGTCCAGGTATCTGGGAGTAGCCAGACACACACTTCAAATACAGCATGGGCACAAAACTCAGACCACTGTACCACTGTTGAATGTTGCTGGTTATCTCATATCTAGGGATTACAGGTCTTAACTACTCCAGGAACAGACTTGTGGCCAAACAAAGACAGGCTTGTTACAAAGGCCTCTTTTGTTGAAAAGGCCTTTGTCCCAGCAAGGGAGGGGATGGCTCCAGGCACCTCTTACCAGTGACCAGCCAGCAGTGAGGCAGGCATACAAGTCCAGCCAGCTCCAGCCTCTTATTTCAGAAGACCCAGCCTCAAGGCTCAGGTTTGCTGGCTATAGCATATGAGGAAGTCACATTCTTTTCCAACTCCCTTGCCTTCCCTAGAAAATGGAGATACTTCTGTAAAATAAGATGGGGACATAAACGGAGAAGCATATTGGCTGTGCTGAGCGGTTGCACTGCTGAGCATATTTATGCCTGACTGTGGCAGGCACAAGCCAATGTCCTTTCACTATGCCCCACCCTCCGCCATGCCACATACACTAAATGCGCATGAACTTAGAAATGCAATGTGTTTGGAAGCTATTCCTCCTTTCTCCAACCAAGGCTCCAAACACCATGTCTGAGGTGAGGGGCAGAAACTAACTCCACCTGAGCAAGCCAGGGAGAACAGCTGCTCCCCAGCCCCTCACTGCCTAACATGGAGAAGCAGGCTGGTGACCTTGCTCAGCCAAGTGATGCCCCTGCACTGATTTGGAATCCCAACGACAATGAGCCCTTGGAATCTCAGACAGAGGAGGGTAGAAATTCCTTGTCATACTGATAGAGTCCACAGTCCCAGGTAGTAAGGAGGCAGCTTCAGCCAGGTCCCCACAAACTGTTCTCAGGGTGGTTATGGGCTGGACTTTCGCTCCCTGATCCTCTCTTTCTGCTGCTTTTCTGAGTTTGGTCTCCAGGCTTCTGTCACCTCTGACAGCTTTGGGACAACCATCCAGAACCTTCCTATTCTCCTTAATTAACCAGCCCTGGTGTCAGCTGCTTCAATATTTTTTTGCCCAGTACTGTGGAAAAGACAATCAAGGGGAAAATTACTCAAAATTTATAGGAGCTTTCAAAATGTGTCTATACTAATATATTTATGACAGCTTTACATAAAATGAAAAATTGTAAACAGTGCTCATTATTGATAGTAATGAAATGGTTAAGTGAACTCTGATCCATTCACTTGGAAAAGCAAGCAATTATGAGATAAGAGACATGTGAGATAGATCAACAAGGGAAAACAGGATAAAAAATTATATGTAGAAGACACTTGAGCTTTTCCCCTGCCCAGAATATAACCTGGAACTTTATTTTTTCTTGTTCACAGTCCAATCTCTAGCCCTGGGCTGTAGTAGGTACTCAACTAATCCCTATGGAATGAATAAAAGAAGTATTTGCTCAGGAGTGGTGTGGAGAAAGCACATATAAATGCTATTAGTGATTATTACCAGTTAGTCACATTTTTAAAAACCTGTTGTTTTCTTTCTTTTATTTCTAATTTTTTGCATCATGTTCTTTTATTCACTTTTCCTGATAAAACCAGGGGTTTTCTTAGCCCAACCCCCTGGTGGGTGATTCAACTTCCTCTAATATTTTTGTCCTCTCTTGAAAGACCCAAGACGCAACCAAGCAGGTTGATAAGATGAGCAAACATTACCTCCTCATGCCAAGTGAAGTGCTCAGTGAAGAAATCCATGAAGGAGCCTGGCACCTTCCTATGGGTAGTGAGCACCAACTGACCTTCACAGCCCACAGCTGGAGCTGGGAGCAGCAGAGTCTGTCTGGGGGCATAAAGTGTTCCCAGGTGCTGAGGCCAAGTCGAAGGCCTTCTGCCCTCCTCCTTTCTCCTCTGGTTGTCATCACAGGCTTTGTCACCAGTCTACACACAGCAGTCTAAACAATGACACATTCAATAGCCAGAGGGAGATCAAAGGGGTTTACTGCCTCATCAGATTGGCATTCAGCTGGGGTCACCACCAGCTTGCAAGTGGGAGCCTGTCCCACCTCAGAATGACTAAGCAGGGATGTGGAGGGGTCTACACTCTGCAGAAGTCAGGAGGTGGGCTTTAGGCCATCCTGGACTCTCCCAGCAGAAAAGAGCATTTAACCAGCCAAGTAGCTGTAAGGAAATGAAATCAGCTACAGATCATGGGCAGTGGCAGCTGTGCACACCGGCTAGGACCAGCGTCTTCTGACCTCAGCAGTTGGGTCTCACTGAGATAGAGGTAGATCCTCTCTTCTCTCTCTCTCTCTCTCTCTCTCTCTCTCTCTCATGCATGCACACTTTCATCATCATAAAATCAATAAAATCATGCAAAGGAAAATGCTGGACATAGAGAAAATAAGACAGATTCAAAGCCCATAAAAAAGCCCTGCAAAGGGTCATGATAACTCTTCTAGAAAAACACGCTCCATTCTGATCTAATCCAGGGCCACCACCACAGTTTCCAGGTCACTCACTATGCATTTCTTCCTCCTTAAAATTGGGAGCCTCTCTACTTAGCAGGTTGCACAGCCCCACTCCAAGCTTGTTCTCCTGCTCCTCAGTGGCTCTTCTCTAAGCTCAGACAGTGCTTTCTGCACTAAATTCTGGGTCCTAGCTATGTGCTATTCTCCTCCTGAAGTCTTTGTGCTGGACTCTGCCAGTCTCTCCTATGAGAGAACAGGTTAATAACCCCAGACCCTAGCCTCCTGACTTTCCCTCTTGAACCATTTGGGTGGCTATTGCTACCTGCTGCTACTATCTCTGAGATATTACAAGATTCAAAAAAATTTTTGTACCTTTTGGTCTGCTAATACAAGTTTAATTAATTCCCTTTATTAAATACTCTCTGTTAAAATAACTATTGTGATCAATGTCTTACCTAAATAATATTTTAAAAATCAAAAGATTTTCTGGTGTATCATTAATGGTTCCCTTCATTAGCTTTACTGTATTAAAGTTAAACCAAAACTCAGTGTATTTTTCCAGTTATTCTTTAATTTATAATCATTAAATATACATGTGTATATATATATGTACATGTATGTATGGATATTTGTGTTATATAGTGGGTTTTTTATTGAATTCTTAGGGATACAAGAGAAAAGCTTCTATTAAAAAAAAGTATGTCAAGCAGAACTTGCTAGTGAAGACAAGTTACTGGGGCTTTGATGAAGTGAGTGGTCCACCTCCTCCTCACCTGAGGTGGGGAGCACAGCTTTTCATCTGTCATGTTCAAATGATACTGCTCAAGAAACTGTGTGCAAGACCTAATTGGAAGTTACCACCCACTATGCTGTTCAAGTCACTAGCCATTTCTCAGTTAGATTCTGAAGGTTTTAGATAGTTGAACAGTCAGAACATATGTCCTTTAAATAGCCAGTGATTCCAGAATAAAGAAATTCTGATGAGAGTCATTGGAAGAAAAATAAGTCCCACTGGAGAAGAGAGTGCAATAGAACAAACACACAGAAGGAGTTAAGCAACCTAACTGTTCCTAAAGACCAAAGGGAGGCCACACACTTGAAGTTGGAGGGGGAGTACTATTAAAATCACAGGTGGTTGCAATAACCACACATACATTCAGTGCTGAATTTCCAATCCCTATCTCCTTACTTTGGGAGCAATTAGTCTCGGGTGAAAAATTGCACTTGCAGCTAATTGCACCTGCAATTACCTACTTCCGGGTGCAATTAGCCACTTGAACCTAATTCTGAGTGTGCAAGTGTTTAATTGCATATGTGAGGGGGTGATTCCAGACACAGTTAGTTGTGCCCTCGGTCCTTGCACCTGCAACTAATTGTGACTAATAAAACAAGTCTTCATACAAGTCAGGTTGAAGGCACATATGGTGACCCTGTTTGAAGAACCTAAGAATTGGACTGGTTGGGCTGATAGTAGTATAAATGTGTTAAAGGAAACGAATGGACAAATTATAAATTGTCATCCTTTGGATCTATGATTACACTATCCTTGTCCCCTTCCTAGAATCATGTTCCTTTGGATTCTGAAATATCAAGTGAGCTAGTTAAAGGCGAGTCCCTTGCCTTGGCTGGAATAATATTTGCAAATAACTCTTCTGCTGACAATCAGGAAATATGCAAGGTTCACGTCAGAACTATATTCTGGTCAATTCCCTTTTTTTATTTAACTCTCATGAGATTGTTCAAAACACATAAGCAACAGATATTTATAGAATATCCGTGTATTACTATGTACTCCTACTACGCCCAAGTCATAAGGCGAATCCAGAGGTTTATAGACATAGCTCCTGCTTTCAGTTTCATCTCAGTTTCACAAGTAGTTACTGTTACACAAAAGCAATCATAAGCTTATTGGGAACATCCATTTGCTGCCTTTCTTCAAAAGTCTATTTATCAAATCTTTTTGGAATCCACATGCAAGTCGAGAAAATGGAGCCAAACCACTGTTTA